CTTTAAATCATGAACACTATAGTATCTTGAATTAACATGGATGTGTCAAGTTAATTTTGGGAAATCCAAATTCCTTATTCCTTAAGAAATGTACCCTGGCTATCTTAAATCCACTGAAATATTGGAAGTATTTTGTTAGCCCCAATGGGTAAGAGATAGTGAGGTTTGGCTGTATTTTAAAATGTTCACAATATAAATTGACTCTGTGATAAGGGAGATAACTCTCATTTTTGATAAAAGAAATGAATTCCCTTATGAAATTGTCAAGTTAAAAGTGTCCAATTCCATCAAATTTTGCTTCGCAACATGTACTGAATATTGTGTGTATTTTCAATATATTTACATTTGCAAATGTTTTGTTTTATATAACACTATTGAAAGCGACGTGTATCTATTACAGGTTCCTCACAAACAATTGACGTAATTTCTGGGTGACATCATAAAAGGTTGATGTGCAATCAATGGGTTACATATGTGCCATTGAGTTTGAAAAAATATAACAATTTTCACACATTAAAAGTCATAAGCAGGCAAAAAAAAATTATGAAATTCAAGTAATTAGTCACAAATGTAAATTTAAGTAATAAAGTATCATTTAAAACACCTATCAGGCTATAAATAGGGGTTTGTTCAACATCAAATTTACCTTCATGAAATATGATCTCATGACCAACCCGTATTTATATCCCGATAAATGTTTTATAATGATACCTTCTTTCTTAAGTAAAGCAATTTTTGTTTGAAAATATATTAAGGAAAATTTCATATAAATAAACAGAGTGATTGATGAACCTTAATTAATTCCCATATAAAGAAAATATCTTAGTTCCATTTTTGGATTTCAAATATCTGGGTTAAATACTCACAATTAATGCATTTGAAGCACACACACTGTGAAAACCATGATAGAATGCTTGAAATTGGTGATAGACTGATTTATTTAGGATCCAGTCTACGTAGAGTTGAACATACTCTGTCAAAGAATTTATTTAAAAGTATTAATTACAATCATGTTACATGTACATCATATCATTTAAATACAACTTGTATGTATAAAGTATCAAAAATGAAAAGTGTAATTTTGGTCCAGCTTATAAAATAACAAAGGAATGAATATTTACTTATTTTGTAATTTAATACATTTATATTTATAACCTTAGAGTTGGATCTGTAATAAACCTTCATTTTTATCTTGCTCCTTTATAAAGTAATTACAAATGAAAACAAACATTTTGATTGTTAAATTATATAAAATCTTGAATTTCTTTTTTTCCCAATTTCTTGACTATAGGCCTTGCCATACATTTGCATAAATGGGCAACAGATCTATTCTGGTTATTTGGTCAAACAAAACAGCCACTTTCTAACCCAGTCAAGGTGAGTCACTTTGTATAATATTCAGTGAAAGAAATTATGGAAATTGACTGAACTACTCTGTCTACTTTGGCCAATAGCCATATTGATCTTTTACAGTTCAAGTAAGTACATGTAGTAAGAACACACCTTTTCTGTTCTCGGTGGTAACTGGAATGTTGGATCCATTAGGTTTGAGATCAATAGTTTTCACAAGACCAAACTCTGTTACAGAAACCTACAAAATTATAGGATATTAGTATTTACATGCAGCTCTTTAAACCTCTTATTAATTTTTTTTACTGTGTAATTCAATAAATCTTAATGTGCAAATTAAATCATATTTTATGACATTGACTTGAGTACCTGAAAACTAAAATTGAACAATAAGATTGTATGAAAATCCAAAACTTATTCTTTCAACTCTCAAATTCTAGAACGAATAAATATGTCAACTTCAAAGAAGGCTCACAATCTTTGAAAATTTCCTTAACAAGTTCCTGTACATGTTAAAGCTGTGATTTGTCAGCAAACTTCAGCACCCACCTGAAAACTTAAGCCAAAATCCTCCTCCACATCTCCATCATAATCTAACAGGTCCTGTAGACCAAAAGCCACATCCTGAGGGAGGAACAGTAAAATATAGGAATTAACTGCTGAAAAATCCTATCATTATGATCATAGGTATTGTATAAATATGTACTTATATATTCAAAGGATTTCCTTTCATGGTTTTATCAGTGAGCTAAAATACATGTATTAAAAATTAAGATAAAAGGAAATTAATGAAGCAAATATAAAAGTAAAATATGTGTCTATATATCTTTCAAACACAGAGATTTGTCATTATTTTTGTGTGACTCAAACTATAGTAATAAAAGACAAGTTGAAAGCCAATGATTAATCATTTCCTTTTCTCAGGTAGACTTTCCAGAATAAATTCTACTTCGTAGAAATATAATAACATGTTAGCCAATAAAAGAGCACAATTAGTGCCCATTGGCAACCCATAGTTCGCTTGAAGACCTGGTCTCCTAAGACTATGTAAATGTTTCAATGAGATAATATCCTTTAAATATCAACTTCAGAGTACTTGTGTGTGGAATCGGAGTGATTTTTGACAAAGAGATTTCGTATATATATATATATCAACTACCAGTTTGTATTCTTAATCAAAAATAGTTATTTTCATTTACATGTCAATTCTATATATCCCAGTGAACTTGAAACAAGAGGCCCACGGGCCTTATAGGTCACCTGAGTATCATGTAACAACTTTCGCACAATTGAATTTGGTTCATGTTTTAAACCAGAGGCCATGAAATTCACAATTTTGAAAGAGGCACCATTGCTTATCATAATTATACACTTAGCTTACTTACTGTAGTTACTTAATACCCAGAGGTAGATCAGAGTAACAAAGAAAAAATGCTCTTCCAACTTATAACCAGTTGTGCACCCCACCCCAAAAGAACCACTGACCCTGAGACCACTTATTTCAAAATTTTCGAAATTTTATCATAAATTTTATTTCATCATAAATGGTTGATTAATACTCAAGAGCAGATTTCAAAGCATTAATTTATTTTTGGACTATGTACATGTAACACCCCCCCCCCCCTACCCCTGACCCAGGGGGCATGGAATTCACCAATTGATAGAGGCACCTTTTTTCATCTTAGATATATATACTTAGATCATTGGCATAATACCCAGGTGCAAACGAAAAGATTTTCATAGAATTAAAGTATTTTCACTATAGAATCAAAAGACTCCACTTATGCAAAATGGGTAAACTCCTGACACAGCTTGGAGCCATGAAATTTACAAATCAGGTTGAGGCACTCTTGCTCATTATAACTATATACTAATTTAGTTTATTTAATACCCAGGAGCAGAGAGGAAGATTTTCAAAGAACTGTTTTTTTTTTCACTATATAATCAATAGAGCCCCACCCTAACACCAGACCCCTGACCCTGGGACCATAAAATTCACAATTTTAGTAGAGCCACTCTTGCTCATCATAACTAAGTACTTAGTTAGTTTATTTAATACCCAGGAGCAGAGAAGAAGATTTTCAAAGAAATAATGCATTTTCACTATATAATCTATATAGCCCTGCCCTAACACCAGAACCCCTGACCCTGGGGCCATAAAATTCACAATTTTGGTAGAGCCACTCTTGCTCATCATAACTATTTACTTAGTTAGTTTATTTAATACCCAGGAGCAGAGAAGAAGATTTTCAAAGAAATAATGCATTTTCACTATATAATCTATATAGCCCTGCCCTAACACCAGAACCCCTGACCCTGGGGCCATAAAATTCACAATTTTGGTAGAGCCACTCTTGCTCATCATAACTATGTACTTAGTTAGTTTATTTAATACCCAGGAGCAGAGAAGAGGATTTTCAAAGAAATAATGCATTTTCACTATATAATCTATATAGCCCCACCCTAGCACTAGAACCCCTGACCCTGGGGCCATAATTATCAAAATTTTGTTAGAGGACTCAATGCTCATTACATTCATACCAACAGTTTGACTGCTTGATGTCCAGAAGTAGAGAAGAAGATTTTTAAAGATTTCATTATTTTTTGTGGTTTTGGCCCCACCCCTCAGGCCCCAGGGGGGCGGGGACCATAAAATTCAAAATTTATATTTCCCTTCACCCATAGATACTGTATACCAAATTTGGTTGAAATTGGTTCAGTGGTTTCCGAGAAGAAGCTGAAAATGTTCAAATGTTAACACACGATGCACGATACACAACACACGACGCACGACGACGGACGAAAACGGATAGCAATAGGTCACCTGAGTGACTCAGGTGACCTAATAAAAGATAATGCAGAGTCTGTCACAATCTAATTACAAGAGGCCCAAGGGCCTTGAATCGCTCTTCTGATAAATTGTATTATCTATCACTTCTACTTGAAGCCTTTAAACTCTAAGTATCCCAAGATGCATGAACTGACAAAGTTTGATGATTCTTAGCCAGTTAGGACTGAAGATATTTCAGTATAGCTATAGAATACCATAAGTAGGTCACGGTGACCTACTTTTTGACTGAAACTTTCTGAGGACTCAAGATGCATTAATTGACAAAGATTGATGGTTCTAAGCCAGTAAGTATGTCATAAATGTCATATATTCAAAAGTAGGTCACTGTGACCTTCTTAGGGTTGAAATTCTCCAAAAACCCAAGATGCATCAACTATCAGAGTTTGATGATTCAGCCAATGAGTACCAGAAATACTTAAATAAAGCCATAAAATGTCAAAAAATGGTCACCGTGACCTACTTTTTGGTTGACATTTTCCGAAGACCCAAGATGCATCAACTGACAATGTTTGATGATTCTAAGCCAATAAGTATCTTAGATAATCAAAAGTAGGTCACTAAGACCTACTTTTTGGTCGACATTCTCCAAAAACCCAAGATGCCTCAACTGACAATGTTTGATAATTCTAAACCAAAAAGTACCTAAGACACTTAAATATAGCCATAAAATATCAAAACTAGGTGAGGTCACAGTAACCTATGTTTTGGTCGACATTCTCAGAAAACCCAAGTTGCATCAACTGACAAAGTTTGATAATTCTAAGCCAAAAAGTACCTAAGATACTTAAATATAGCCATAAAATGTCAAAAGTAGGTCACCATGACCTCCTTCTTGGTCGACATTTTCTGAAGACCCAAGATGCATCAACTGGCAATGTTTGATAATCAAAAGTAGGTCATTGTGACCTACTTTTTGGTCAACATTCTCCAAACAACCAAGATGCCTCAACTGACAACGTTTGACAATTCTAGGCCAATAACTACCCAGGATACTTAAATATAGCCATACAATTCAAAACTAGGTCACAGTAAACTACTTTATGGTCAATATGTTCCGAAAACCCAAGTTGCATCAACTGACAAAGTTTGATGATTCTAAGTCCAAAAGTACCTAAGATACTTGAATATAGCCATAACATGTCAAAACTAGGTCACAGTGACCTACTTTTTGGTTGACATTCTCCGAAAACCCAAGTTGTATCAACTGACAAAGTTTGATGATTCTAAGCCAAAAAGTACCAAAGATACTTAAATTAAGCCATAAAATGTCAAAAGTAGGTCACCGTGACCTACTTTTTAGTCAACATTTTCCAAAGACCCAAGATGCATCAACTGACAAAGTTTGATGGTCATAGGTCTGAAAGTATTCAAAATATGCCTTTTAAACAATTTGAAAACAAATGCCTGCAAAATTCAAAAAGTAGGTCACAGTGACCTACTTTTTCATAAATATGTTTTAAGGCCTCAAGATGCATCAACTTCCAAGATTTGGTGATTCTAGACCTCTCAGTGTCTGAAATAATGGAATTAAGTGTTTTAGAAAAGATGAGCTATAAAATTCAAAAAGTAGGTCATGGTGACCTACTTATAAGTTGACCTTGTTCAAGGACCTTAGATGCATCAACTGACAAAGTTTGATGATCATAGGCCTTGAAGTGTCCAAAATATGCCTCCAAATCAATTTGAAAACAAAAGCCCATAAAATTTAAAAAGTAGGTCACTGTGACATACTTTTGTGTTAACATGATGTGAAATCCTAAGATGCATCAACTTATAAGATTTGATGATCCTAGTCTTTATAGTAAGCGAAATATCAACGTTTTTATTGTGAAAATTTTGGTTAACTTTGAAGTGACCTTGAGACCACGCCCTTTGCCCCAGGGTCATGCCTTGAACAAATTTTAATCTTCCACATATCCTGACCCTTGTATGTAAGTTTGGTGAAAATCTGCCATGTGGTTCTGGAGAAGATTTTTTAGCAACCAGTACTTTTGGTTTCATTTTCCTGATTATCTCCCCTTGTTTTAGGGTCCCAACCCTTGTTTTAGTATAAAACGTAGCCCTTGGGCCAAGGATACCCTGTGACAAATTTGACAATGATTGGCCAAGGGGTTCTTGAGTTATGGCCCATATTCTGAAAAGTTAACACACACCGCACACTGCACGACGCACACCACAAATGGCCATAGCATTAGCTCTTTGAGCCTTTGGCTCAGAAGAGCTAAAAATTAAATCTTTGATCCGCTCCAGTTTGATCTCTACACAAGCTTTGTGTAGCGATCAAACTGGGAGGATCAAAGATCTAATTTTAATTAAATTGAGCAATCACCAGCATATGATGTTAACATCTCCAACTTATTTTTATACTCAAAGCATGCACCAAGTATAATACACCCTTAAACTTAGATATGCTACTAACAAATAAGTTGATGTAAACAGTATTTCAACAAACTTGTTTAAAGTGAGTTTTTGTAAATTCTCCAGTAGCTAAAATGACCTTGTAAGCAAATCTAATTAACCTGTCATTGGGTGGTATTTTGGCTGATTTGTTTCATACCAATAGGCCTTTGTTTTTATTCTGAGTTTGACTACATGATGTTTTGTCTACCTTATCAATATGTAGGGCTCATGAGTGAAAAATTCTTGAGAGGGAAGTTAAATAACATACAATCAATCAATCAAATTTTTTTTTAAGATTTTTTTTTTTAAATTAATCAATCACTGTCCTTTTATTTTTCCACCTTTTTCATACATTAACCAACAATGGAAATTAATTTGATATGTAAGTCACTAATTATTGTTCTGTTTTAAGAAATTGACTTCTTTAGACCACATACTGGTTCTAACTTGAAATTTAATGAACTTGAGGCTAGAAAACAGACTTCCATTCATACAATATTTAAACCCACAGCATGAAAATCTTTGATGAATTGATTTTTCTTACTACAATTCAATCTGAAAAAGAAAATCTATACTCTTCACAGTAACAAGAACAAACATCTGATACAGTATATTATATCAATAAAGTCTTCTTAAGATTCTTAGTTAGACACCAAAGACTTGGCAGGTTGGCATCATGTGCATACATGTATGAGGAACACATAATTATATGAAACAAATCACTGTTCTAACTTCTACACTCACAACTGACATATGAAAATTCTTTCAATCACGGGGAGACTGTGAAATGTTTACCTTTTTTGATTTTTTCAAGTAAGAAAAGTGTAATATTATGGTAAAATCCCAACTTACGGCCTGGACAGTTTTGAGATCCTCTAAGGACATTGTGGAGACACCGACCATGGCTTGTGGGTTGTTGTAAGGCACAACTGCAGGACTTAGAAGCTTCTTGAAGCAACAGGGAGGAAAATGAATATCCAGAATAATACTGTTGTAAACCGCCAAGCCCATTAACTGAAGACAGTGTTAAGGCATGATAATTAACAAGAAGTCTTTGAGGAGACTGAGGCTCTACTGGTTTGTACAAGTAATAGTGGAAGAAGAGAGTTGCTCTTGGACTTAAATTTCTTTCAATTCAATGTGTGATCATGACTTGTATCCAGTTTTACTGATATCAAACAAAAACTGTAGACAGGTAGAAGCTGGTGTTGTGAATTTAAAATGTGTTTAGAATTTTACAGATTATTTGTTTTTTGTTACCCTGACAACAGCTCTTTTCTTATTTCTAAAATAAAATACACCATGACCATGAATAAATAATATACAGGCATCAAAAAACAACAATCATTAAAACTGGACCACCTACAGGAAATGATGTGTTTGAAAGAATTTCATAGAAATTCTTTTTTTTATGAATAAAATTAATCAATACATTTTGTATCCATCCAAACAAAATTTTTTTTTATCCAAGCAACGGGCTCAAATTACTAATAAAATAATTAAATAATTCAAAAATACAGGAAGCTCTTATGTATGGTAAAAAAATCTCCTTTGTTCTAGGTATTGTGGTTTATCAATGATCATCATGGTGAAATATATCAATTCTAAATTAAAAATTAAACACGACAGAGAAAGGCTACAAAGCCATTTTGATTGTATTTCATTTGCATATAAAATATTCATTTGTATAATCTTTGCCTTGCAACATCCATGAACTACAGTCTTATACAATTATTGACTCATATGAGATCTATATGATCAGGCATGGTAGAACAATACAGTGTATTAATTAAGTGTTATGGGGAAAAATATGGGGATAATACTAATCAATCAAACTAACAATTCAATTTTGAATATGGATCGAGAATATCATCAGTTTTGGAATGGTAAAAAAAAATAGCTCAATAAAACTGTACAGCTTGATCACAAGAAGAGAAATTAAAAAAAAAAGGTGAAACCAGCACATTCAATCTCATTCATCTTTTATGGGGCTAGGTTTTAACATTTGTATTGACTTGTGAAAGGGAAGATCAACAATAGAAATACCGTATAATCCCTATTAACCGCCCCTGCCCCTATAAGCGCCCCCTAAGGTCTTTTTAAATTGTCAGGAAATAAGGGTCCCCTGTACAGTGATTAAAATCATCTAGAATAGAATCAAAAGTCTGCCAAAATTTAAAGAAAGTGAAAATGAAACTTGTGATTATCCAATTTTTTGGTGGAAAATGAATCATTTAGCATAATTTGGGTGGATTTACTTCCCTTAAAGTAAAGTTAGACATTATTTTAGTGGTTCTTTGAATTTATATTTTTTTTCAAAAGATTTCTGGAAGTTAATATATGACATTAAATATTAAAAAGAATACCAAAATAATCGCCCCCTTTTTGCAATTTTCTAAGCGCCTGGGGCGGTTAAAAGAGATTATACGGTATCAATCAAAACAAAAGCACAACTTCATTACATTAAAGTAGTCTTCCTGATTCAAAAGCATCATCATCTAAATGTTAAATACCATCAACAACTTCAACTTCAAATCAAGTAATACTTTCTGCAACCTTCACTTACATTTGAAGGCATAAATTAAAGCTGGGCTACCACTATTCGAGAATAGTATTTAATTAAATCTGATTAACAAAATACCGTTACAAGATTAGTATCTGCTTCCCCCTTCCACCCACCCCACCAATTGTCTTCACAAAGACAGCATAACTTCCAATTCAATAGATACAAAAGGATACCACTCCGACCAAGTTAAATTCCTGGTAACTCTCACACTGGGCAGAACTGAACCAATGAACACCAGCTCTTTTGTCATAGGTAAACATACCTGCAAAAGAAAATTAAATATTTCTGTTGAATAAATGATAAATACATTAATCTAAACTAAAACTGCAAACAAGCTCAGATTTACTTCCTGCTACTTAATTGTTATATTGCACATTATTAACACAGTGCAGTCAACTAGTGACTCACCAAATTTGTAATAAGCACTATAAGTAAACTACTGTTGTACTACCACACCTGGAACATGGATATTTCTAATACCATGGAAACATGATAGTTAAATAGCTGGAAGTATTTTAACCTCCATATCTTGAATTATCTATATCTCAGAATTTTTTTTTAGTCTGATAAAGTTTGAGATAAATAGTTAAACTTACAAATTACTGTAAACCAACTTTTATTCGGGACAACTTTATTTCACGATTTACCATGGGTAAACAGTTCGCGATGATTAATTTTCATGATCAAGCCTTTTTTGGATAGTTTTTTTTAGATAGACACAGAGACTTTAAGGACCAGTTCAAAGTGAAAAATATTTGCGAAGAGGATTCTATTGCAAATCTTGTGAAAATTTCTCACACACAAATAAAAGTTGGTTTACAGTATTTACCGGTAAACTATTATGTTCCCAAGTAGCTAAAAAGGGGTGGTTTGTTTTGACAGTATTTTTGTTGTTGTCATTTCTGACATTAGCTTTACGTGTTTACTTAAATTTTCAATTTAAGACAGTTCATAATTTCAGTAACAAACCTTTCTCTGGAACATTCACTCAGTCATACTTACCATAGTCTGAGTGGAAGATCTGCCTGATCAGTAATAGGAACCACTCCTTGGTCAACCCACCCATGTCTAGACCCGGCTCCCCCGCAAAGGTCACCTTCAGTTTCTTTTTGAGGTCATGCTGCTTACGAGCAATCTCATTCAGCGAGTCTGACACCAGATGAGATCGCCTCACTGTCAGATTCAAAAACAGCATTCCAACATCTGGCATCTGCCTTCGTTGTACTTTAGCAACTAGACTTCTCTATAAAGCAGAAAAGGAAAGTGTCATTTACAATGAAACCTGATTGCTGGTGATCTTTATAACTAAAGAATACCCATGGGAACAATAAGTCTCAGCTTTTTGTGTCCATGCAGTATCAGGGTAACTATTAACAAATATTTCCATTTCTATTTGTTTTTCTCTGTGTTCATGCTTTTAAATTTAATTGAGTTGATATCTTGATCATTCTAACAGAATGCAAATTTTGCCAAGTCAGGAGCTAAGGAGGCCTAATATGCATGTAAATCTTGTGCATCTGTCTTTGTGTCTGATGCTAAGGAGGCCTAATATGCCTGTTAATCTTTTGTGGCTGTCTTTGTGTCTGATGCTAAGAAGGCCTAATATGCCTGTTAATTTTGTGCATCTGTCTTTGTGTATGATGATAAGGAGGCCTAATATGCCTGTTAATCTTGTGTGCTTGTCTTTGTGTCTGATGCTAAGGAGGCCTAATATGCCTGTTAATCTTGTGTGGCTGTTTTTTGTGTCTGATGCTAAGGAGGCCTAATATGCCTGTTAATTTTGTGCATCTGTCTTTGTGTCTGATGCTAAGGAGGCCTAATATGCCTGTTAATTTTGTGCATCTGTCTTTTTGTCTGACTTCAGTGGGTGGGTACCAATTGACATTGGAGGCCTTGTGTAATTCAAAACCAATAGTGTGCATTTTCAAAATTTAAATGTACAATTTTATTTCACAATGAAATGGAAATATTAGGAGTTGATCATCACTGTGTAGTTAGTAGAGTATGCCAGGGACCTCTGCATCAATGACAGTTGGAAATGTGGGATAATTTAAGCATAACGGGCTTCGCCCATTATGCAAATTATCCCATGTTTCCAACTATCATTGATGCCCTGGCATAAACTCTACTATCTAGATGCTGGATTCCTTAATTAATAACAAAAATCAATTTCTATACAAAAGAAAAAAGAAAAAAATCATTGACTGTAGGAATTCAATGATAGAAGTTGTACAATAATTTGGATATAAATTACCCTGGCCATGATAATCATCTGTTGTTCACTATCTCTCTGTAACACAGTTCGTTTTGCATTGATGCTCAAAATAAATGGATACTGGCAGAAAGAGAATCTGAAAAAACATTAAATTAAATAAGGATAACATCTACTTAAAAACATAATCCAGATGTAACAAACTTAGTCATCATGCAAGTATTAAACTTTTGCTGAAGTCTGCCTGAACGTAATATCTTTAGAAATCTTGTAATTAAGCTGAATTTAAATAAAATGTTATACCCTGCACAGGAGCTGGGGTTTTGCCATGTGTAATACTCCGCCATCAGATCAAGATGATCCAGGGTGGGGTTATAAAACTCTGTATATTGCACAATAGTAGGACTAGTCAAATTGTTGGCAGCATCTAAAACACAGAGTGGGGTTATAAAACTCTGTATATTGCACAATAGTAGGACTAGTCAAATTGTTGGCAGCATCTAAAACACAGAGTGAGGGTTATAAAACTCTGTATATTGCACAATAGTAGGACTAGTCAAATTGTTGGCAGCATCTAAAACACAGAGTGAGGGTTATAAAACTCTGTATTGTATATATCAAATTGCTGGCAGCATCTAAAACACAGAGTACAGGTATAAAACTCTGTATATTGCACTAGTCAAATTGTTGGCAGCATCTAAAACACAGAGTGCACAAAAAGTAGGACAAGTCAAATTGTTGGCAGCATCTAAAACACAGATTTGGGTTATATAACTAGGTTTATTATATTTCTGTTAAAATGTTTCCTATATAAAGTTAAGAAGGTAAAATGACTATTTTTCATAGTCTGAAAATTTCCACACATAGAAAGCTATACCCCGGGGTATAGTTTTTTCTATCCACCCTCGGAAGATTTTCATGCAATTTTTCTTGCCAATTTTGATTTCCAGCAATAAATCAATAGACTTAGAAATTATAGTATACATCAGTATAATAAAACGCTTATCCACTGGCTGTGAGTGGGATAGCTCTTTTATCAAACCCTTGAGAGGAACTATTCCCCTCGGGCAAGCCCTCGGGGAATAGTTCCTGTCGCGGGTTTGATAAAAGAGCTATCCCGCTCACAGTCAGTGGATACGTGTAAGTGTATAATATTGCACAGAAGTAGAATTAATCAAATTGTTGGCAGTATCTAAAACACAGTTGGGTATTTAAAAAGTGTACTTAATATTAATTTCTTCAGTGGGTGTGATAATATAATTAAAGACTTTCAAAAGAAAAAAAATCTCAATCAATTCAAACTGTTTATCTTTTGATTTTGTACAGTTGAACTTTGGTATCTTGAATACCAATATCTCAAATACTATGGATATGACACAAAAAAGTTGGTTTTTCTTGACGTAATCAAGTTTGAGAGAAGGGTTTGCTTCACATTTAGCTATTTTCAATGATCCTAAACAATATCTATTTTCTCTTGAACAAGCTCAGCTCTTTTCAATTGTTAAATCTTTACATTTTTTCTCAAGATATACTTGACTCTTACTCTAATGTTTCTATTTAATGCAATATATATATGTTTAAGTATATAATAATTTATGTATTAAATTAATAGTGTAGTTTTACATCAAAAGCAGTGGAAATAAAATTGTTTTTTAGTGGCAAAAAAAAAAAAAAAATTGTCTGGAACTTTACTGATTTCATATCAACATGTTACAGAAATAACTTTAGTAGCATTTTTAAAGTTTAAATTCTGCTAACTCATAAAAAACATGTTATTTTAAGTTTGAGGCTTTTTTTTTTTTATCAGTTTTAATGATTATATTTTTTTCCTACATAAGAGCTTACATACTAATTGCTCTGTTTTCTAGCAAATATGGCACAAAGGCATTCACAGCATAGAATCTGTGATAATTACATTCCTGCCACTCCATTACAGAAATATTATTTCTAATATGCTGTTAATTTGAGAATTTTCTGATGTAGAAATTGTTGCCATGCAGATACCTAGATCATGACTTCTGCAAAATTAATAATCATCCTCATTCGGTCAGTATACACCATTGTACTTTTGAATGATATTCTTTCTTTTTACCAATAGAAGCTGCAATTGATGTGGCAAAGATAAGTCCATTATTGTGCTGATTCAATAAAGTGCATGGCCTGCAGCCACGAATGTTTTGTATTGAGCTTCCATAGGCTTTAAATCAATTATAGTCGATCACACACTCCTTTGTAAAATGCTTATCTACCACTGTTACATCGACAACAAATCACCCATTTAACATAATTAAGATAAGAATACATATGTTTGTGTACTTGTAGCCTAAGAAAAATCAATCAAAATTGTGTATCCTAAGACAAAGACTGATGAAATCACAAAACATACAATTTGTACATAAATAATGTATCAATCAAAGGGAGGTATGGATTTTGCTTTTCTGAGAGCAGATTTTTCTTTCAAATTACTTTAAAGAATATCTTTAATATTAGTGTGGAAATAATCCTTTGTCCATTTTTATTCACAATTAAGATGTATAATTTCATGTTCTTACTGAGAAGTGCCAGCACTTTGGTAGCACTGGGAATCCACCAAGTACACTTCGCCATTGGTGGGAGGTCCTGAGGTTTGGGGGGAAACAGTCGTATTGAAATAAAGTTCTGAAGTCTCTTTATGATTTTCTGAAAAACTTGTCTCTTCAACCTAGATGTATTGAAAAAAATGCACAGATTTAGTTTAAAATTTCAATTATATTCAAGTTTAAACAGAGTTCTTTTAGAGCATGAGACTATTTGCATACAAGATGACAAATATTATTGACTTTTATGGTGTTTTACTTTACTGTACAGTGACTTTCTATTTAATGATTGTATACATTACTTTCAGAATATCTAATGGAATTTCAATGAGCTTTGTAGAAATTGTTTATCTATGAATAGATTTAAATAGAAAGTAGAACTTTAGAGCATTTGATTAAAAAATATTTTATTAGCAAAATTGGGTACCCAGTGTAAGAGTTCCATAACTTTATTTTTTTTTTTACACACAAATTTTTTTTAAGCAATCCAAAGGCCTGTGATTACTCCTAAGGGGTTTATAAAGAGTTATATTGTAAAAATAAAGTACACTATGCAGCAATATCACATACGAAATAATTTTTTATGGCCTACCCTTTCATCCAGTGAACAAGAAAATGGTGGTCATGATCTGTTAAGGCAGCAATCTGCCTCAGAAGGTGGGCAAAGATGACGTAGGTAGAAAAATTCTCAAACTGGGGATTCTGAAAAGAAAATTTTGAAGCCTCTGACTGTAATAGTTTGAAAGAAAACAAGATGTGTTTGTGAAACACAATGCGCCCGGCTGCAACAAAGTTAAAACATATTTTTAGCATATAGGTCAAGTCAAGGTCACAATGTTATTGATTTTGGTGTCATTTGAAGAACTTGATTAGTGACGTCTGCATACCAAATATGAAGTCTCTATCTCTCATGGTTCAAAAGTTATGGTGAAGGTCCAAAAAAGCTATTTTTAGCATGTAGGACACAGTCAAGGTCACAAGGTCATTGACCTTGGTGTCATGTGAAAAGGCTTAATTAGTGGAGTATGCATGCCAAATATTAAGTCTCTATCTTTCTTCGTTCAAAAGTTATTGCAAAGGTTAAAATTTGCCAAAAAAAGCTATATTTAGCGTATAGGTCACATCAAGGTCACTGACCATTGTGACATTTAATTAAAAGAGCTTAATCAGTGGTGTATGCATAACAAATATGAAGTCTTTATCTTTTATGGTTCAAAAGTTATGGCAAAGGTTAAAGTTTACAGGAAAAAAAACTATTTTTAGCATATAGGTCACAGTCAAGGTCACAAGGTCATTGACCAATGTGTCATTTAAAAGAGCTTAATCAGTGGTGTATGCATACCAAATATGAAGTCTCTATCATTTATGGTCCTAAAGTTATGCGAAGGTAAAAGTTTGCAGAAAAAAAACTATTTTTAGCATATAGGTCAGTCAAGGTCACAAGGTCATTGACCTTGCTTCATTTGAAAGAGCTTAATTAGTGGAGTATGCATGCCAAATATGAAGTCTCTATCATTCATGGTTCAAAAGTTATGACGAAGGTTAAAGTTTGCAGACAAACAGATAAACAGATAGAAAGACAGCTAGACAGACAGGACAAAAACAATATATGCCTTGGATCTTTCGATCCAGGAGCATAAAAAATTCAGAAATTTGATTCACTGCTCATGATGTTGTGTAATACAAAAGCATAGAAAACTTGTTCAACTCAGAATATAAAAGTTTCCATACAATTGAGTTTTCCTTATAAACAAGTTCTTTTACAAACAAGTTAAACTCTACTATTATTTACATGAAATTACAAATTATTGCATAGATAAATATTTAATCTCATATTCTAAGAACAACAAATGAAAATTGTAGTGGTTACATGTGTCACGATGATCCGATGATAAATTCTATGCCAGGCTGTTCATTTCCTATGTACAGAATACTGGATGTATTTCGTTAATTAAAAGAAAGTTTTCAATTACATGTACCATCAGACATGATAATTAGAAATTGTATATAACTACATGTATCTGTTTGATAAAAGTGGCATTTTTTATGTCACATATTCATATATGAATGAATTTAATTAGAAATACAATCAATATTCTTAAACTTTATATGGAGACATAATATTCATAAAAGATTTTCCCAATCAAACATAAGCTACTGTGAATTAAATCTGATCCACTTTCAAATGAGGAATGAAACGCAAATTAAATTCATTTGAATTAATTTAATGCACATTAAAAACTTTGCTTTAACTCCATGTGAAAATATACAAAGCTTATTCAATTCAAATTTTGACACATGCATAAAATAACGTTATTTTATAAAGTTTGAAATTACGTCAAATGGATCTGCTTTGTACAATATGTCATGATTTGTAAATATCATCATAATCATGATAATAGTATTACTGGATAGCCTAATACTGTAGATTAAATTGAAATAACTTTTTAAATTGCATTCATTATCTTGTGAAAAGCTGTGACCAGGGTTGTCCTTACGACTCGGGGCCTGGGGAATTTTCTGGCCTTTAAGGTTATAACCCCTCGTTTATTTTGGTATTCCTCCTCACTCCCTTTTAGGAGAGGAACCACAGATCTCCTTGTATTTTTTTTATTGTCCCCTGCTATTTCAATTCTTAGTGACAACCCTGTGTGATCCTTTGTATCACAAAACAGCATGCTTGAAAATTCATCTTGTCTTGACAGTCTTGAAAACACTTTTTTCTCTTATGTGATACATCACCCCCTTCCCCAAATAAAAAAAAATAAAAATATTCTACAATACCTGCAGGAGTACCAAATAAGCTCTCAGGTCATCCTTTGTATGGGGCCTTAAAAAAAAAAAAAATAATGTAAATTTCTACACCTTGCTGGCTCTGATATTGATAAATATTAAATGCAATTGGTTTAATTTAATCTATCGCTTTGGGCAGACTTTATAGGATAACAACATAGATGAATATACCAGTAATCTAGGCACAATCACATGCATACATGTACATAAATGAACAAATGTACATGTATAAATCAATTCTGAAAAAAATTCTATCAATCTTCCATTATTTAATTTTTTTTTCATAAAAATGTCATACAATGCCTTGATCTTCATCTTACCAATGAATTCTGCTGTCATGGTCCCTGAGTAAGCATTAAATTGAGCAAAAAATAAAATGAGCATGATACAGAATTGTTTACAGCTGTAACATTCAGTAGTCAGATTGTCTAATGTGATAGTCATTCAGTTATTTCTTTGCTAATTACTTTACTATGGACAAATACTAAAATGTACATAAGAATATATCTATATTAATACAACTTCAATCAGTCAGTTGATGAACTTAAAAATCAATTTAGATCCAGATAAACTATCAATCTACATGTATTATCTAACAGTAATTTTCTCTGTGTATAAACAATATCTTAAATGAGGCAAGCTACTGACAAACAAGTTGATGCAATAAGAATACCGTATAACGGGTAATTTTTACTGCTGTAAATTTTTACAGATTTCTGTTGAAATAGGGTGATTTTATTTTTTACGTGTTAAATTTTTACGAATTGAGCATGTCCATAAAAATTAAAATCAACAGAAGGTCCAGATCAATGTTTTAGCATTTTGAATGCGTTAACATACATATACATGTTTTAAATGTCTGGACAACCCGGAGTAAAATAACAACGAAAGTGTTCCCGTGATAACGAGTGTTGATTCCTTAAGTGATCTGTTTATTCATTTAACCCTTTCAACACTGTAGACCGATACATCGGTCTGATAAAATTTTGTCTTGGAACACGGTAGACCGATACATCGGTCTCAGACACTAAACTGAAAGTCAAACGTTTATTCTTAGAAATAGAAAGTGTTCTCTGCGCAAAATCTTTCGCTATGAATTATGGGTAGAATGATGTAAACATCCATTAATAAAAATGGCGGCCCACATGGCGAAAACTACGAAAAAATAAGGAAAATTAGATGATTAGTAAAGAAAACGAAGAAGAAAGCAAAATGGCGGTAAACGACGAAATGTCCGATCTTTCTGGCGATGAAAGATTTAATAAAATGAGGGAATTAGACATTATAAATGTTTCTAGACAACAAATACATGAGTTATTAACAATGTTGTGAAATTTTGTCGGAGAAAGATGACTTGGAATCGGAATATCAAGGCTCCTAAAGAGAGGATGTTTTCCACGCGCCAGACTTCTTCCGATGTTCTGAAACACCCCGTTTTATTTATTGATAATTATGGACTTGCTTTTTGATAAATTCTGACATATTGCATATCATTTTACTCGGAAATAATTTCTCTTTTAAACGATGGTAAGAACATAATTGATTTTGAAACTTCATAGCAGCAAATTTATTGAATTATTGCATAAGATCCGTTCTAAAATGTAATTATGAATTCTATTAGTGTTTTTGACTTGATAAATAATTTTGTATATATATAAAATTTATATCATTTAAAAGAGAAATGCCTCACCTTTCTAATGATGTGTCATTTATTAAAATATTCAAAGAAATAAAGAAGTTATAGTATTTTTTGTGACGGAAGGTGAAATGTTTAGTGATGTCCCAAGTTACTCAGTGTACCAGGGGTTGGTTGATAAAAGTTACTCAGTGTTGAAAGAGTTAAATACCTTTAAATATCACATACCCTGCATTTATTCCTGTAGTACACATGTTCACGCATCATTATTGTTGCCCACCACGTGCCGTCTTCATTTTAATGAAAACAAAGAGAGACAACGCAAGCCATCATGATTAAGTTGACAGAATTACAGGGGACACGGATTACGACGCATTAAAATGTCGAAGTTTTTACTGGAAGCTAATAAGAAGAAGAAAGGGTCAAAATCTTGAAAAATGGATATAATTTGAAGACTTCAGTCTGTAATAATTAAGCCATTATCAGTAATTATGTCTCCCATAAGAGGAACCAGGTAATTGACGGTGTTTGTATAATTTGTGCATTAATTAAGATTTACTTGTTTGATTCTAATCGATAATCAATTAAAAAATTCCCCAAAATACCAACGAGTGTCAGTACTAATTCTGTAGCCTCCAGGTACTTGGCTAAATGGCAATGATAGCATTGAAATACTCTCATAATACAATGTTCAAAATTTAGGCAAGGCGTATATTACTTCTGTGAAATTTTACGCGTTTAATTTTTACAGATTTATAAAACTCGTAAAAATTAGTAAAAATACCCGTTATACGGTATATATGAACAGTCTCATTTAAAGTCATAATTTCTCAAGTTCTACAGTTTATTAGTATTTTTCTGATACAATGTAACAATCTAAATAATCCAGATCCAGATGCTACATGTACATTTACCTCTTGTCCTTAAGTAGACTATTTATGACAGATTTTAGAACCACCTTCTGAATTTCCTGTGGCTGCAATGCAAAATGTTATATGAGAATTATAACAACCACTTTACACTACAGTAAACAAATAATTAAGTTATTCCAAGCATATGTGATGACATGTATTTATAAAATTTAAAATCCCAAAACCAAAGGTTCAAAATGCTCCAAAAGCATAATATAGTAAATATCAAATGAAATTTGTAAACTAATTCAACCTACATGTACATGTATTTATTGACACGTTGTGCAAGCATTACTAGTACTCCATGAACTTTGCCTTTCACATTCAATGAGCTGATTCCTTACCTGACTTGTTAAAAGGTATGATTTTGATTTATGACTTACCATTTTCAGAAGAATTTCATAGACCATGTGAACTAACTCAAACTTGAGGCCTGGTTCCTCCACTGTTTTGTACTCCTTGCTGGGATCTCTCTGAAAAGTCAAAATCCTGCATGTAAAATACATGGTCAGAATTGTAAGATTGCTAAAAAGTCAAAATACTACAGAAAAACTGCATGGTCAAACTAAAAATTGCTATAAAGTCAACATACTGCAAGAAAACTGCAAGCTCAAAATTAAAAATTGCTAAAAATCAAAATACTGCATAAAACTACATGGTCAGAATTAATAAAGATTGCCAAGAAGTTAAAAAATTGCATAAAAATAAATGGTCTAAATTAAAGATTGCTAAAAAGTAAAAAATACTACATGTAAGATGCATGATCAAAATAAAATCAAACTAAACTGAAGTCAAAATACTGCATGAAATTTGCATGGTCATATGTAAAGATTGCTATAATATATTCGAAATATCTCATGTTAACTGCATGAAAAAATTGAAGATTGTTGTGTAGACTATTGACTGCATGGTCAAATTTAAAGATTGCTTTTACATGTACAGTCAAAATACTGCATGTAAACTATATAGTAAAAATTAAAAATTGCTGTAAATTCAATGTACTTCAGGAAAACTGCATGGTCTAATTTAAAGATTGCTATAAATTCAAAATACTGCATTTAATAATTACAGATTGCTGTAAAGACAATATACTACATGAAAACTGCATGCTTAAATAAAGTTAAAGATTGCATGTTCATTAAGTCAAAATACTGCATGAAAGCTGCATGGTCAAAATTAAACATTACTGTAAAATCAAAATACTGCAGGAAAATTTCATACTTGGTCAGATTAAAAAATGTTGACAGAAATAGCTAATATATTAAAAGTGAACGTTAATTCTGATTTTAAAATTAAAGAAATATATGACTTAAAACCAAATAATTTATATAGTTTTATTAAAGTACTGCATACTAATCATGCACTGGTATACCTACTGCAGGGGGCATATAAAAGAAACATTTAGAAATTCCTTTGATATGCTCATCAAAGGTTTAAATTGATCCCTGGAGTTTCATGCAGACAAATAATAAGTAAAAATTATACTCCAAATAAAATAATTTATTACATGTATTTGATTGTCAAAATGTTGTTCAGTAATCTAGCAGAATTTCAAAATATTGCAGTGCTGAATTGAATTTGAGACCCCCTGACAAATTGATCAAATTGACAATCCATATATATATATTTACATTATATCATGTATATCACAGATAACATGCCAGTTATTCTACCTACAAAGAAAATGGGCAAGTTTAATGTTGATATATTGATTAACCATTCAATTTTATCTGCGTAAAACCATTTTAAGGGTGACAGATATCCCAAACATACAGGATATAAAACCTCATAATTACCATGAACTTATAAATCATGAATATCTACAGGCAAAACTCTTGTGCTCTGGAAAATATGCAATTATTCAAACTTCAAAATGAAACTTTAAATAATGTTCTGCAAATACTTTCCTGCTTTTAAGCCAAAGTATTTAATCTTATCAAGCTTAAATAGCTAAATGTATTGGAAATCAATTTACTTTTCACAAAAATATTGGCATTTAAAACACTCAGTGTGAAGGGAAGTTTTTGTTGTTCATGAAAATAACAAGTTTGTGCCAAAAGGACTTTAAAGTCTCCATTAATTAATGTATCAACACTTAAGTAAAATTCAATATGCCAAGAATACACAGCTGAGAGTAGAAATAAATTGAAAACTTTGAGCAACTCAAAAGCAAGGTTTTAAGCAAGATTAAGACAGTAACAATATCAAAACTTAAAGAGAATAAGTACTCAGTGTCATATTACTGTAAGTTGTTAAAATTTCACGATATTTCAAAAATTACCAATGGCGATGTTTTTAATTTCACGCTTTAAAAAATTAATTCAAAATTTTGTATAAGCTTTTAAACGTTTTTAAAAACTAATAACAACATTCAGGATTACATTCAGGATGGGTTTAATTTTGCAGAAAAATGATAAATCGCGAAAATAGTGAAATTAAAACCATCGAGATTATTTGCCAATTTAGAGTATTCAAATTTAAGTTAATATGTAAAATAGTAAAATATTCCAAGAATTCTAACAAACTGAATTTTAATCACAAGCTTGTTCTATGTTGCTTTAATGTTTTTAACAGATACGGTAATTAAGTCAGTCAAACCAGGCTTTCATCAACTTGATGAGACTTAAACAAACTTATGATATCCAAGGATTCCAAATGATTTGAGAGGAAATTCTTAAAGAATAAGGGAATACGGACTTCAAAATCACTTTTTAAAACATATCCATGGTATTCAAGAAACCAGTGTTTTAGATACTCAAGTTTTCTGATAGGGTTAATAATAGTTTAATATTTGATTTAAGCTTGTATTCTTTCCCAATCACTAAAATGGAATCATTAAAAGAGCTTTTGTCAGTACTACTGATAAAAAGATTTTTGTAGATCTCATAAATATGATCATCTAGATCTGGAAATGCACATTACTTTTCTTTATCATCAATCGCAAACCAATAGATATATACAAGTATTTTTATGCCCTTGTAATAAAAGATTTTTTAAATAGTTTTTGCCCTATCCTTTTGTGTGTCTGTCTGCAAAAACTTAAACATTGCTTTGAGTGGGTGGGACAAGGGCTTTTAGATTTCACAGGTGTATTCCTTGTGACAAGGTCTTTCTTTGGGTACCACCAAATTGGGCCTCTTGCCCTTGAACAGTTGGAGTATGACAAATCTTGACAAAGATTACCACAATTTAACCTTAACTTTTAAACAGTTGGTGCTTAGGCTTTCATACTTCACATGTGTATTCATAATGACAAGATCTTTCAGTGGGTATAAATATTTTTTACCTTGACCTTAAAGTGAGACCCATATTTTAAAACATTTTACCTTGGCCATACCTTTTGAACAGTTAGAACACTCTAGACCTAGGGATTTTATATTTCACAAGTGTATTCCTTGTGACAAGATCTTCCTTTGGGTACCAACAATTTTGACCTTTTGACCTTGACCTTTAGAGTTTGACTTGCATATGAGAAAATTCAACCCTCACCATAAGCTGCCATATGGGGGCATCAGTGTTTCACAGCATTATGTTCTGCTTAATATTTATATACCTAATAGATTTGACTACAAATTTGAAGTGAGCTATATACATTCTATTCTTGCCAACAAAAAATATTTCCATTGGAGATTATATAACTCTGATGTTCAATGTTTAACTTACAGTACTGTTTAATCTTTATTATTCCGTCACTATTATAACAAACCACTTGTTACAATGTTGTGATTTTTGTGTTATTGTTTTGTCAGGGTGGACAATGGGTGGATGGGAGATATGATGTAAATTGTGGTATTTATAGTAAATTGTTGTCAATTATGCAGACCCATGCACAAGGGGTTTACTAAGGTATATGGGCAATATCAGGAAATGCGCAGAATTTATATTAGACATTGATGCTCTAAGGAATATTAGTTTTGCATAAATAATACAAATTAATACCATCCTACATGATTGTTTTGTTTTGGGAATTGTACAGGTATAGAATAATGAGACTAGGATCATAATTTCTGGCTAGATGAGGGTGCCCATCCATTTGCAGTCATTATATAACAAGGTCATACATATAAACAGTTCATAATTAAAGCTTTTTTTTTCTTCGTAGCATTTAAAGTCACAATTTCCAACTGAAATTGATGAAATTATTTACTGGTAAGCATTATTACAGGCATGTTAAACTTGATTCAAATTATCAAATTACTTTCAAATGCTAATTTTTGTCAAAAAAACAACAAGATAATGTCTGAACTAAATCTATAATGACCCTGACATTATTATCAATGTAATTAAGACCCAGCCTTCTTCAATATTCCAAATATTAGAATATCTGGAGCATTTTGTCTGTCCTGTTAACCTCATAAAATCTAGGTACATCAGGAAGGTAAAATGACTTTTGAACACTGATTTCTGATTTTCTCAGGTAAGCAACATGAACTATGGGCCTGTTTTATTTAAGGACACATGTAACATACACGTAGTTTGAACTTTATTGTCCTATTCCCTGAAGAGTTCCACTGCTTTAAGGAACTGTAGGCTACATTTCATTGTCTCTATATGCTGTTGTACACTTCTCTTAAAACAAGTTTGGATAAAAAAGACATCAAAAATATATGTTCCGTAATTTTTGCAATTTTTTTTTTTAATTATACAAAAATATTTATCAATTGATATCTTTTTAAAATCTGAGGTAATGCATGCTAATTGTTTGTCTACGAACATCTGAGGCACTTAATAATCATAAATTAAGAATATCTTGAAAAATAATCAGAAGGTATTTATAGGTACCTTGCGTATGTCCTTAAGAAATAGAAAAAATAAAACAAAGCCCATGCACAGATTACATTCTAATAGACTTGGTGATGCATAATTAATCAAAAAGAACAAATATATAGGCTGGTAATTGGTGAGGTGGAACAATTCATGTAGATGTGTTTTTCACAATAGACACAAAATGGTTCCTTTTGAATGCTACAGAATTATGTAAAATTCATGAATTTGGAGCCTACGGAGCTTGATCATGTTGATGCATGCAATCAATGCATGGCTACCGTATAATCCCTATTAACCGCCCCGGGCGCTTAGAAAATTGCGAAAAGGGGGCAGTGTTTTTGGCATTCTCTTCCTAAAATTTAATGTCATATTTTAATTTCAAAAAATCTTTTGAAAAAAAAAAATAAATTCAAAGAAACACTAAAATATGTCTAACTTTACTTTAAGTGAAATATCCATATTATGTCTGATTCATTTTCTTGGATTAATATAGAAAGTTTCATTTTCACTTTCTATAAAATCTTGGCAGACTTTTGAACAAGATTTTTTTTATCATGATTTTATCACATATAGGGGGCATTTGATTATGCTTAAATGATTCATTTAATCCATATATACATGTATGTCAAATCAATGATATTTATATAAATCCCCTGGATTCAATATAGCTAAAGTTAGGTCATTTTTTCCAATTTCACCTTTCTTCAAATCTATGAGAGTGCAGTGATCTACATTGACATTATACATGTATGTACTATTTTAATTTATTACATGTTCATAATTATTTTTGTGTAATCAATTCTTTTTTTATGGATATATGTAACATTTTGTTTTGTTTTAGTAAGCTTATCACAAGTTATGTTACCAATAGATTTTCATACAGATGGAAAAATTGTACAAATTGATCAGTGATATTGCAACTTCTCCATTTCACTTTGCAATTCATTCCCAAAAATTACATGACTGAAAGCTAGCTCATAAAAATGAAAATGATTGATGTATGCCATAGTGCATTTCAAACAAGGAAAATTTTTTTAGAAAAGTGCGACATAAAATTCAAGCTAAGAGGGAGGGTCTAACCTTGAATGTTGCATTAATCTCACACAAAGGATTCAAAAGTTGTGGCGTAAAATCTTACCTTCCAGTTCCCTGATCTTGGCGGAATTCCCTACAAATGTATAGTAGGCAAACATAAATGCATGGTTTATAATGCTACAAGTCACACTTGCTATCAGATTGTGAAATGATGACCTAATATTATTGCACCATTACAAAATTCCTGGTTCCTGTAAAGATTTAGTCATTTTAACTTAAATACCTGTTGGTAATAAATTTTTAACCCATGTATATAATTGACACAAGGTATATTTACACTTTCAGAGGAAATGCACTGTCAAAATGTTTATTATCATTGTTTCACACTAAATTGCACGTATCAAAAATCATATATGATAAAAATTTATGGAAAACTTCATGTCAAAGTATTTGAAAATTTCACACAGAGATTTTGATTGGCTAAAAATCTGAAAATTACATCAGATAAACATCCTTTTAGCTAAAAAAGTTCTTTACTTCCATCCAAGCGGATTAATATATTCAAGCATGCTATACAATAATTGTAGAGATATAGGTTAATCAGTAGATTTCCTCTGATAAAACGACGCGATTCTAAGGGAGGGGTGTTAATTTAAGATACTTGTGTTATAAATATATATGTATAAATCAAAAATTTATATAAATCCCCTGCCTGTTCTTTCAATGCATAGCGGGGGTTTATATACAATAATAAGCTAGATATAGCTGTGTGAATTAAAACCTTCCAAAAATAAGACCATTTTATTTCTTTTTTAAAATAAAATATTTACTCCAGGTTAAGCAGTGATCTACATTAACATTATACATGTATCCACTATTTTAATTTATTACATGTTCATAATTATTGTTTGTGTATATGATACAGACGTACATCCACAATTCTTTTTTTAAATGGAAATATATGTAACATTTTGTTCTTGTTTTAGTAAGCTTATCACGAGTTATGTAGCACCAATAGATTTTCATACAGGATGGAAAAATTGTACAAATTGATCAGTGATATTGCAACTTCTCCATTTCACTTTGCAATTCATTCCCAAAAATTACATGTAACTGAAAGCTAGCTCATAAAAATGAAAATGATTGATGTATGCCATAGTGCATTTCAAACAAGGAAAAAGTATGAACAATTTAGAAAAGTGCAACATAAAATTCAAGCTAAGAAGGGAACATTAGGAATTATAGTCTAACCTTGAATGTTGCATTAATCTCCAAAAAGGATTCAAAAGTTGTGGCGTAAAAGTCTTGGACGACCTTCCAGTTCCCTGACTCTTTGGCCAAAAGAACATCCTCCCTACAATATGTATAGTAGGCAAACATAAATGCATGGTTTATCAATGCTACAAGTCACACTTGCTATCAGATTGTGAAATGATGACCTAATATTATTTCTGGTCACCATTACAAAATTCCTGGTTCCTGTACAGTAGTCACTTTTACACTTGAAATCACAGGCACCTGTTTCGGTAATAAATTTTTAACCCATAGTATATAATAATAACACAAGGTATCTAACTCCAAATTACACTAAGTACCCCCCTCCCTCAGAAACGCATTCATTTACACTTTCAGATCGAGGAAATGCACTGTCAAACTGTTTATTATCATTGTCTTCTACAATAAATTATCTACACAACCATACATAGCATGCATGTCTTCGTTTTTGTTTATATCTGTAAACAGCGTCAAAACTCTGCTGAGTGGAAAACTTCAAAAGTCGACTCAACCATGGAACGGTATGTGCTAATCCCGCACAGAGATTTTGATTGGCTAAAAATCGACTGTCTCTAAAATTACATCAGATAAACATCGTACTGTTTTCAGGGAAAATCAGACGTAAAAAAGTTCTTTACTTTCGATCTGGCGAGCAGAGTTCTGATTACGGAGATAAAAGAAAATAAAGACAAGCATGCTAGATATGGTTGTGTATGATAAATTATTGTAGAAGACATATAGGTATAAACAGTTTACCCATGCATTTCCTCTGAAAGTGTAAATGAGCGCGATTCTAAGGGAGGGGGGTACTCCGTGTAAATCGGAGTTTAAGATACCTTGTGTTATATATTATTATACCATGTATACTATAGGTCAAAAATTTATTACAGAAACAAGTGCCTGTGCTTGAAATGCATAGCGGGGGTATTATATGAACCAAAAATTTGGAAATTCAAATTCCATAGCTGTGTGAATCATGTAAAACCTTAGACCCAAAAATAAGACCATATTTATGAAATGTAATTTTTTAAAATAAAATATTTACTCCAGGTTAAGCATATAGCATCTACATTAACTAACTTGAGTTGCTCGGCTGTTTTGGTCCTGACTGGGTACACCAGTTTGTTGTTGTTGGCACTTGCTGTTATCTGACTTATGTTGGAGTCGGCCTGTTGGGCCCATGTGTTGACTCGCTGGTTGTCCCCCTTTGAGACACTCTTCTCTTTTTCTGCTGCCCTGGGACTGAGTGGGCCATTGACATTATAGGATGGAGTTCTTTTTCCAGTGGGTGTCTGTGATTGGTTGATGGGTGGTAGCTCTGTGCTGGAGCCCTTTGTACTGGATTCTGACAGATGACTTGATGCTTCAGAGTCAGATCGTGGCTGCGAACCAGGGGTCTTTGTTTTACGACTCGGTCCTAAGTTCTGGAAAAAGTTGGCAATGGAACTTAGAGTTCCTCCTGACTTATCCTTATCCTACAAAAAAAAAACACATCAGCGGTTACATAAAACATATTTACATTGAGGAATTTGATGTAAATGCATTGAATGAATCACAAAATTTATTTGTTTTTTCCAATTTTTTGCCATGATCTGGATAATAAAACATGGATTCAAAGTACTATAAATTTTAATTGCAATAAAACACATTTATAGCTAAATCCCAAAATGGCACAACCAACCCTTCACTTACCCCTTGTGATTGTGATGATGATGAGTTCAATCCCCCCAATTACAATCACAACAGAATTTCTGGATCTGGCCTCTACGGGGCCATAAAACTGAGATGAGCTCACTTTTGATCTCAGTCTTACTTTCCCACATAATTCCTTTGAAAAAAGTAGGACTGGGGTCAAAAGTGAGCTCATATTAGACCCTTTTCACAAGGAGAGTTTAATTCAATTAACCGTAACGTTACTGCGAATAAGCTTTGCTTTATGAGCGTTCACACAGAGAATTTAATGCAAATAAGTTTAATTCGAATTAGTTTACTGTGCATTTAATTATACTTCGCATTACTTCCATGTGAACGCTAATTCAAATTAAATTCTGACACATGCGTAATGGCAGAATTTAGTCAAATGCCACTTGGTGGTGGTCAGGTATTGGTACTTCTGTTATTTTTGAGTGAAAAACTAAGGAAAATTTTGTTAATCATTAAATTGTGTATACTCAGACACTTTGCCATTATGTCAAATGGATCTGCTACTGCATAAGGTGACGTGATTTGCAAATGACGTCATAATAGCCATGCTGACGCCGGGCTGCAGAAGTAAAATTTTAATTCGCATTTAAGTTTACTTTGCATTAGCTGTCGACGTGTAAACGCAATTTAATTCACATTAGTTTGATTCGCATTAGTTTACTTGGCACTAATTTACTGCTAATTAAACTCTCCATGTGAACAGGGCATAAGTTTTATGCCCCCCAGGCCTGGAGTTATAAAAACTTAAGATTAATTATTTCAGTTAACTTTTGACCTATTAAGGCTCAATTTTTTACTTAAAATTCCTTTCACAAACATTTAAAGTGAGACTGCAGAGATCATAATTATAGTGAGCTCATCAAAGTTTTATGGTCTAGACACTGAATCTGACTGCATGAGCCAATTAAATAACTGATCAGATTCCTAAAAATTTTCCAATTTTATTGCTCACTTTAAGGATCTTAATATTAATACTTTGCATCATATGCCTGACATTGTCAAAGGATTTCATTGGTCTATTCAGACAAATTCAGACTTTTGTACTTATAAAAAATACATTTTTAAAAAAAGTATAATTATAAATAGTAATCAATTGTTTCACAAAATATTTTCATGTAAAAAAAAAAAAAGAAGACATATATTCCAAAAGTTGCAGGCCAGCAGGTACAGTACTTCCATATGTGCAAATGCAGTATTTAGGATATGCGTATCTCGCGAATGAGCTGAAGTTCTCTAGCTGAGAAATTAATGTTTAAGGTCATATGCAACGTAGTTTGAACTTTATTGGGTTCTTCCCTGGAGTTGGAGAATTCCACTAAATGAAGGACATGTGTGCAATACTTTTAATGTGTATATAGGGACTTGTACACCTCTTCTTAAACAATTTTTGATGAAAAAAAATCTGGAATTTATGTTTTGTAATTTTGATACATTTTTCTTTGATTAATGCAAAAATTTTTAAAATTTGATATCTTTTCAAAACCCCTGGTAATGCATGCTGACTTATTGTCTAAGAACATGTAATGGTATTATAAGTTTAAGTTTAGAATATCTTGAAAAATTATCAGTAGGAAAGGTATGTTGCGTATGTCCTTAAGAAAAAAATATCAGAAAAATGGGTATGTTGATCTGCATGCTCATGCATGGCAATTAATTCTTATCTCCTTGTGCTATATCTCATAATCTGCATGCATGCAGCTACAATTAATTGCAATATGCTGTGAGTGATTTATAATAATTACACAACAGAACCTTATCTGAAAGTACTTTAAAAAACAACATTTTTTTTAATTATCAGACAGTTCTTAAATCTAATTCTGTTCAATATTTCAAGCTCATGACTATAATAATTACATGTATATTAAAAACTCACCATTTTTAAGTTTATGCAGTCTTATGACAATTACATTGCAAAACAGGATTTTTCTAGAAAATTCACTTGAGGTATATATGATGCTGCATTAATCACACCTATTAGCCATGAACACAATTTGAATTATGAATATTCATTGACAAAGTAGTTGTTCACACTTTGGAGGGAAGTACAAACCAATTTGCTACATGTACTTATTGAATGCATTTCAATTGCATTGCATCCTTAAAATACTTGAGAATTTGCAAAAGAAAACTGTTACAGATGAAAAAAATCTAACTCTTCCAAAAAGGGATGATGGAATATATATTAATTTAATATAAACATAAAAAAAAGAGAAAGCAATTATGAAATTAATGAACAAAATATATCAAAAATTAGATCATAATTATTATCCAGACGAGAGTTACTATAATGCACGGCAAAAATTAGTCCATGAAAAATATGTCCATTTCCAATGACAAAATGACTATGACAGATGGGGTAAGAGGTGAAACTTGAAAAATATGCCTGGATCCAAAAGTCCATTATTGGCAGATGAAGAGAAGCCTGCATATTTTTTTGTAGAAATTGGTGTTGCCAAGGCTTTTGTACATGTTTTGCAATAATATAACAGATTTCTTCCACAAAAAATATCTTTATATATGATATAATTTACATACTTTTTTAACTATGATTTTAAGGAAATTTCCATAAACTTTTAACAAATGAATAATTATATATATTACAAAATTGCTTCATACAAAGTAACCCTATATTTACTGTATGTCAGTACGTTATTTTATTCCTACATTACCCAGCACACACAACATTGCATGTATTTTAAAACATTGACAGCAATTGTAATTAACAGCAGCACTATATACATAGTATATATTTTAAAAAGTGTACTGAAGAATTTGCACGTCCTCCATCTCGTAATTTTCACCTTCAGAAAATCAATAAATACTCACCCTCAGGTATTCTTCATCTATCTTGATCAATTAATGAAGAAATTAATTCAAATTCTATAGTGTAAAAGTATGTTTGAAATGTACGTAGCTTTCTGGTTGGACATTTAATGTCTTAATATTAGAGAGCTACAGTTCTGCAGCTTAAAAATTATTTATTACTAAATATATTTATTTGCATGTATTAAGACCCGGCCCCCCCACAAAAAAAAGGATATGAATTCAATATATCCTGTTATTGAGATTACATCACTTAACAACAATTTCAAAAATTAAAAGTAAATCATACTGCATCATCATACTGTACGTGTTATATGCTGTACACATACTGATTCACACTGCCCCAATTTTAAATCAATTATAGCTAAATTTCCCCATATGCTGGAGAGCCAACTGGAGAAACATATGGTTCTAAAATAAGAGAATATTTTTATTTATATCTGTTTTATATTTATCTGCAAATAAGTTAACTATATGTATTTTGCTTATTTTTGCAGTCTCGGAAGACCCATGATGAAATTAAGGAATGTACTGTAGAAATTTTTTTAATATACATGTACCCGCGTGTATCAGAACTTGGATTCACTATATGTCTTACAATTACATAATACGAAAATTTTCGCGAAAATTTGTGACCGCGTACAAGTGAAATTTATACAATGCGAATTGTCACTGCAAGCTCTAATGACAACACCTAGTCAAAGAGAAAATCCGACTCCTTCACATTCATTTTATAGAATTTTTTTTTCCGAAATAACTTAATTTTGACCCACAATGCATTGCTTGTTACAAAATCACAGCAGAGACTTCTTTATTTGGCAGGAAGTATGAATTGTCCTTTAATTTGTTTTTGTCATAAAGAAACAAAGGGACAACAAATTAATTAACCACTCTCTTACACATAAAACACACACACTTTTGTGACTCATCTTATATAAAAAATTATTAATAATAAATAATATTCTCAGCATGCTGGGAAATATTCAAGTTTAATGGAAAATTAAATTATACATAAAATTAAAAATCAAAATTATTTTGTTTTTATAGAAACAATGAACAATGAAATAATATATTTCATACAACTTGGGGTCTGAGATACCTGGAACCATTAGGTAATAAATTTATCAAAATTAAAAAAAAAGGAGCAAAAATTTGCAGATGGCACAAGTTCTGCAGGTACACTTATAACAAGGAGGGTAATTAAGAGAATCTTTTAATATTGAAATGATATTAAGGTCTGAATAGCAGCTTTACTGATCAGGATAGGACATAGAATAGATAGTTTTCAGTAGACCAAATTAACAAGAGATATTTCCCGTTGGCCGCCATATTTGGGGGTCAACCTGGTAATTTTCCCTCTTTTTCCTACCAAATATAAGAAGGTGTAGCAGAAATATTTGGGGGAAATCTTTATGGAATAGAAATTATGAAATAAAGGAGGCTCTAATAAATGTGTATTTTTAAGAAAAACAATGCTTCCCATTCCCACAATTGCCAGTGTTGGTTGAATAATGAATGGATATGAGCATGTTGACCCCCAATATGGCCACCAACGGGAAATAACTCTTGTTAATTTGGGTCTACTGAAAACTATCTATATTTATCGTCTTCATTGAAAAAGATTTTCTGTGAATTTCTTGAAATAAAAGAATGCAAATATTAGTAATAAACAATTAAGTTATTTCTGTGAAAATAGTGGATACGTTATGAACAACATTTGCTCTATAGATATATACAACAGACAGAAAATAGTACGTTTCCTCTTGAACTGGAATTTTGGAACATTATACTCATAGAGGATATCTATATTGTGTGATTTGATATTGGCTTTATCCAAAGAGTTGAAATGGTGTATATATTTGTGAGGCTTGCCGAATATACACCATTTCAATGAGTTGGATAAAGCCAATATCAAATCAAACAATTATAGATGTTCTATTTATCTCAGACGACTTAATTTCCTTTTAACAAAACTTTCTGACTTCCTCTGCAAAACTACTTGAATGATTGCTAATTCAAATTGATGACGTATAACTTGATGACATAGCACCGTTGATGTTGATAATTGCCTCGAAAGAGAGTAGATCATGTTCAAAATTTAGAATTTTTGCTATCTGCATCTTTGAAAACATTATGTGACAATTGCTGGAGCTTTACATCAAACGAACTTCGACTAAAAGTTGTAAGGACCATGGGATCATGAAAATGAACTCTGTTTGGACGATGGCAGTGCAGTGTTAGGCAAGGCTAGGGGCCTACTTCTAGATTCATTGTTGATTACTATACATTTATAGTAAATGGGCAATGTTTGATTTGATTTGTCATAAATAAAAAAAATTCAATTATCACTTTAGATGTAATTATGAAAAGCTGGTATTTTGGAAAAGGTGCACAGAGTGTGTGTGGTGTGTGAAGGTGTGTTTGTGAGTGTATTTTGTTCTTTTGTATGTATGAAAATTTGCAAAAATAAAGCATTAAAAAAAAAAAAAAGATTCATTGTTGATCCATGGTAAGTTACACCTACATTTCTAGGTAGGCATACGTAGTATAATATAAGAAAGCATTATTGAAGATGTTAAAGGAATCTTATAACAACAACTTAACTGCTAGGCTTTACTTTCTCCGAAAACGATTTAAAGGAGGGGGGGGGGGGTAACATCTGTCTTCAAGTAGCCAATACATGTTCCTTGATAAAATAAGACACTTCTTTGACATATACGAGCCTTTTTCTTGCTTTTAACAATGTTATCGCTCCATATCATTACTAGGGCAATAATTTTCACAAATAAAAGTTTCAATAAAATAAAATCTTGAAGCGAAGGATCGTGTCAAAACCGGAAGTGCTATTGATAAAGCATCTAGCCGTGGATAAAGCATAAGTTTATCTAATGGGCTGTATCCCAAACACGTATGAGATATAAAATATATCAATCAATACATGTAGGAACTACAACTGCATTTGTACATTACCGGTACTTTACACAGAAGTCTCCCCGCCAGTATTAGGACAATTGAAACTAGTAGACTCACATGATCATTTCAGAGTTTCAAAATCAGTGTTGACCAAAACGGTTAGAACATGCAGTAGATGTAACATGCAAAAAAAGACATTTATTTCCCATGGAAAAATCCAGTGAGTGTCTCTAAATTTACTTATTACAGAACAGATACTTTTTCCCTGGTCTATGAATAATATCACTTTATGCAGTGATGATTGAATATATGATCGTGTTTTATATCCCACTCGAAGATTTTTCACTCATATACAGGTATACAGATCATTTGTAAACAGTTACTATTAAAATATCAGTGAAGGGCTTCAAATTGCCTGGGGGCACTCAGAACAGTGAGGGTCCTATAAGTAACACCTGCCATGACACTGGCTCCTTTTCTAAGGTCTCAATTGAAAGACTCGCAACATAAAAATTTCACTTTGACAAATAATTGTCAAAGGAATAGTAATATCTACCATTCTTTTTATTGACATAGATAAGTAACAACTCGTATTTGAACTCAAAACCTTCTAAACATGGAGCAAGCGCTCTATCGACTGAAATACAGTGACGGTCTGATGAAAAGAAAAATACATGAAATAGGGCCTACTTCTATAACACGTCTTAAGAGAGAAAAAAATCACCTCATCTTTGTCCTTTATTCCATTCGGTGAATGTTTCTCCCTGTTCACCCTTCTGATCTGTCTTAGTTCATCTACTGCCGAGTCACGATCATAAAAATTCCCACATTTTGGACAAATAATTCTCTTACTCCCTCTATTTTGGGGGACAGAATGATCACATGTTGGACAAGTTACCGAAACACTGGATTCCCTGGAATCCGTTGCCGCCATAAGAAACCATAAGCCTCAAATAATTATAATCGATTCTGGCATTTTGTGCTACCTACTGCTTGTATCAACACCTGTATAACTATTAGTATTGATTTGATGGTCAAAATGCGAACTGTTCGATGCTCTTGTTGGTTTACGTTGGAGACTGTTAAGGATGGGATTTAAAATTTACAAAACGAAAATAGTAAATACTTTGAATTAAAGTATCTGTATCAAAATAAAAATGTAGAGTATCCAAGTCTGAGCTTTGAAAGGATCTGAATTACATATCAAATAAAAGTCTTCATAAAAAATAATCTAGGATACACATTTTCGTATTTTTAATTTATAAAAATTAAGAATAAGATTTCTACTTTCACTTTCACTTTATCTTTGGAAGAATGGCGGCGTCTGTAGTTAGAGGAGTGGACAAAATAAATGCAACTGCTCGACACAAATGCATTGCACGTTCATTATTAAGAAGGAGCTTTTCTTCCTCGATGAATCTGGTAAAAATGTTTCATATTTCTTTCAGTTTTCAAGTATTTATTTGACTTTGGATATCGATTAAAAAAAATCGCCCTTGACATGTCCTGGAAAAATAACATCAGGCTAAATTAAATGAAAAATAAGCTATGTCTTTAGTATCAGTCTTAAACCTGTAATCTGATACTCTTGTGATATGGTGAAAAAAATTAAGAAAATTTGGACAAACAAAATGAAAATTGTACGCTCAGCCAGCTAAATGTAGTAATGTGTCCTCTTTTCAATTTTAGAATTCTTTAGATATAGTATCTATTTCTATTTTAGATAGAATGAATGCTCTAGTGTTAAAATGACAAATGGCTTACAGTGAGGGCTTGTCCTGAGACACAGTTACTGAGTTAGATTAATCTAAGTATTTCTATGTTAGACATGTTAGAGAGACAACTTTTCAACAAAGAGAGTTCTCATTAAGACATCTTTAATTGTGATATCTCCCATGGTTAAAATTTAGAGCATGACAGATTTATTTTCAATAATTTAGTGTAAATTGCTACAAAACATAATTTCTCTTGTTGACATTATTATAGGTGATAATATCAAACAATATATCTCATTTTAGAACAAAGCTTTGGTCCTGGGTGTGTATGAGAATGATTCAAGTGACTCCATTGACTTTACTGGTACAGCTAAAAAATTCAATGAAAAGGTTGATGGAAAAATTGCAGAGCTTTTGCTCAGGTGAGTATACTCAGTGAGTAATATCGATATCTCTTGAGCATGAGTTACACCTGAATACATTTTTTTGTACAGAATACCAATTTTTTAACCAGATAACTGATGTGTTAATATCAAAGATTTTCAAAAGTTGCATAATGTACATCTGTAATATCCACATATTAATTTCACTATTATATCCTCAGTGCCAGAGAATTTCTTTATTGATATAACAGGGTAAAAAAGCCTCTGAAAGGAGGAAAAACTAGAACATTGCATGGATTGGATTCAGAGTTTTCTTCAGTGACGGTCACATGTATTGGGAAAAAGGAAGAAGGCTATGATGAACTGGAAACAGTAGACAAAGGGAGAGAATCTATACGAGCAGCTGTGGCAAGTAAGAGAAGACAGACACAATAATTATTTTTAATAAATATTCATGAAGACACATCTTAAATATTTGTTAGAGACGGCTAGGATGTGTTTATTGAATATATTTATTTCCCAGAATTTTCATTTTTATTGTTTATTTAAATTGTTTATAACTATTTTGGTCAAAATAAGTATGTATTGATTGCAAAGTTACACATTTTTATATTAGAAGAGACACAAATGAATTTTGAATTGAATATGTTTAAAATTTAAAGAATGGATATATCATAAACATGTATTGTTTTTAAATTTAATTATTGTTCATCAGTCTGTGTAAATTATAAAGTACAGCAAATATACTGCAAATGTTCCTAATCAAGAGATATATAGCATATATCCCTCTGGTATGTTGATTGAGATCCTGTCTTGTAGAGGCAGTCCTTGAGTTGAGAGAACTGGGTGAGAACGAGATAGAAGTGGATCCTTGTGGGGATACTGAAGGTTAAGTATACTTGCTTTGAAAAATACACTGTAGATAAACATGTACATGTACATAATGGCAATAGAGTATTTTCTTGCTGAAGTTTAACAGAATCACTGATTTAGTAAATTTTAATATACATGTATTTTAAGATAAACAACAATTTAAGTTTCATGGATATCTTAGTCCAATTCTCAGATAACCTTGGACTTTTAAGAGGGTTTGACTTTCTCAACACTACATAATTAGCATCTCTCAAATGGCAGATAGATTCTCATTGATTAAGAAATTGATATCATCAATAATTTTAAATTGATTTTGACAACAATGAGATGACTTAAGCCCCACCTCTTTGCCATACAAAACACTATCATTGGATCATTTCTACACTCCCTAATATTTGTTGGAATTATTTCAACCATGAATGAATTAAAGGCTGTGTAAATTTCAGGAGCTAATCAGGTATTAAATGTCAATAATACTACACCCAACTGAAAGTTCAAGGTTGACCAAGTATTTTACTAATATATATGTAAAACATTTTTTTTTTTATAAAATCAGAGTTCTTGAAATCTTTTTTTCGCTGTCAGTCATTTGGACCAACTGCCATGTGAAGTTTGTCAGTCCAGACAGATTTCTATCAGTCCAAAATAAATTCAATAAAAACATGAAAAAAAAATTGTATTTAAATTTTATTATCAATAAACACGGCGTCTATATGAACACTGCACACTTCTTACCCTAGCGCCGTCAAGAAACTTGTTTTAACAGTTAACCAATAGTTTGGCGCAAGTTAGAATAATCTGTGTCTCGGAACAAGTCCTCATAACAGTTATACTCGCAATGTAGCAAATAGTTACAGAATTGCTCCGAAACGAATTTGAAGTATAGAAAAGGATATGTACTGGAAACAGCTTCAAAATTAATTACAACAAACCTATTTTTTAGGTCATGTATGTCTTTCAACCTTAATTATGATCCAAATAAAGACGATAATTCAACTAATTTTCTTTACGTTTTTTTCGCTTAAAATTTACACGCCATGTTTGCATTCGGAACTCTCTGGAATATTTGTAGTAAATATACTGAGTTCGAGTCATTGCCCGTGTTTATTTTGCGACATAGTGAATATACGGAACAAATTCTATTATTAAACCGGGTCCGTAGGACATTTATCATTTTAACGATAGAACATTGTCTCTAAATTTGCACCTGTATTAATCAAGAAGCCATTACAACATGCAGAAAAAGAGTTTGAAAGATAACGATCGATCGATTATAGGGAATTTGTACGAAATTTAGTCGGATTTTCGCAAGTTCTCTGTCAACACCGTTCGGTCATTTGGACTGACACAGAACGGAAAGTAATCGGTCCTTGGTTGTTTCTATCGGTTTTGCCGACAGGACCGAAAGATTTCAAGAACTCTGTAAAATGAAAAAAATTCTTATGACACAGGATTGAATAATATAAATGTGTAATAACATATTGAAAAGAAAAGTACTCTAAAAATTTATATAAAATGAAACAGAACAGAAATAATTTTTTTATGAAACTTTCATATAATAATTAATACAATTTTATTATTTATCAATAGCCTCTGCAGAGGGGTGTCACCTAGCTTTATTCTCTTACGATGAACTGAAGGCAGTAAAAAATAGGAAACCAACAGTGACAGTTTCATGTGCCTCACGATTCAGCCAAGACAAGTAAGGGGAAACTATTAAAATAGTCTCATTTAAATTTGCCATTCATAGGCTGTATTAGATATCGGTAAATGACAATTTTTGAAGTATTTTTGGAATGAATTTATTTTGTAAATGATTGAATTTTCATTTTTCATAATATATAGTTTTTGTTACATGTGCATAAATTATGTGAAATTCATGAAGAATTACATGTATTTATGTACATGTATAACTAAACTCCTTATAATTAAAATGTATTTTGAAATATCAGAGGCAACATTGAAAAGGGATGGAAGAAGGGAATCATTTTAGCTGATGGCCAAAATCTCTCCAGACGCCTGATGGAAATGCCAGCCAACCTTCTAACTCCAACAAAATTTGCAGACATTGTCAAAGAACAGTTGTCCTCTAAATGTGAAGTTATTGTCAGGTATTCAGCAAGAAATCCTAAAAATTTTGATTTTTCAATGCTGTAAAAGCCAAAAAAAAAAAAAAAGAAGTCTTTGACATCTATTTTGTTTTAAACTGTGTGCATATGTGTGCAGCTAGCTTTATAATTTCATTTTGTTTTTTTTATCAATGCCAACAGCTTCACTGAAGTTTATGACTGAAAAAAAATTCTTTTGATTAATCTTGCGTAAATTTTTATTGATAATTTATTTAATATTTCCCTTTTTTATATGGGGATATATATATATTTTAAACAATTTTTATTCATACCCATGGTATTGATTTTTTTTTTTAAGAGACAAAGCCTGGGCAGAGTCAATGAAGATGGGGTCCTTTTTATCAGTAGCGAGGGGATCTGTGGAGCCTCCTGTCTTCTTAGAGATTGAGTATAAAGGGAAACAATCAGAAACCCCTATAGCCCTGGTGGGGAAAGGTGTCACCTTTGATAGGTAAGTCTATCTTGAGAATAAACAGTATGATGCTGTTAACAATCCTCTAATTTTGTCAATCCTCAGTCAATGATTTAAAGTGTTGACACTGTCACAGACCTTTATTGTAGTCATGCAATCTTAATACATGTAGTCATCATTGTTTATAATGCCATTTTTAAGCACTAAGCGCATGCGCTAAGCGCATGTGCAAAGTGTGCCTTAGGTACGCATAGAAAATTTCCATGGTCTTTTTATCAGCGCCCCCTATTGATCATGTTTATCTTTTATCAACACCCGCTACCTTGCCTATGTTTTTTAACATGATTGATAACAGAGAATATATGGGTCATTCTTCGATTGATAATTCTTTTCACCTATGAATTGATAATACTATATCAACAATTTATTAAGTTCATGTTTATTGTCCGTCAATTATGATACAATTTACTCTTACAGAAAAAGATAATCACTCTGTGTACATGTGTTTTATTAAATGCCAAAATTTTCAATTGCTGGTCGGATTCTGCTCGTGTGTAGACTGTGTAAACTGTAGGGAGCGTAATTATAAAATGTATAGGAAAACCCAAACCAGGTTGGAGATTTCTAAACTGAAAACCGGGATTGTATAATTTTTGATAAGGCCTAGAAAAAAAAT